GCCCACCGTGTTGGAGTTATCACTCCATTTATCATTTTCTGTTATTTTTCTGTTTAAGTGATCTCATGAACTCGATTTTATATTTTCCTTTACTAGACAAAGTCGCATGTGCGACTCTTTTATTTTTCTCCGCTTTATATTAGTAATACGGTGTCGTTTTGTTCAGTGTGCATGTAGCACGTGTGTGTGTACGTACACTACATATTGTCGTCTTCTTCATTTTCCTTTGATGATATACAGAAAATGAGGTTTTCCCTCAGCTTGTTGCTTTAGTTTTCACACACCGGAGGCCCGGTGGAGTGGACCGGCCGCCTCACCCTCCCCTCTGCGGAGCCGCCCAAAAGCACCACCACATCAGCCCAATATGAGGCGAAGAGCTGCACCGGAAGAGGCGAACTCAGCAGAGAAGAAAAAAGCAGAGGCTACGCACGGGCCGATCATCTCCGCGAGTTGATGAAGCACCGACTGGAAGGAGGTGCGCTGTAGAAGAAGAAGAAGAAGAAGAAAAAGGCTAGGGATTTGAGGCTAATCTGAGGAGAGAGAGAGAGAGAGAGAGGAGTTTCTGTTCCACATATAATTACGATCTCTAAAATAGTCATTTTAACTGTTTTAAGGAAATGTTGCACATAATTACGATCGTAACACCTGGAGATGCAATGCACATAATTTTACGGAGAAAGAAGCACAACCCAGATCGTAACCAACATATATAGTAATTCTACTTTAATAGGTGAAAAAAGAAAAAATACAATTTTTTGGTATGGATCATTGCTTAAAAATACAACAAACTTGCAGGCTGATAAGTTGAGCTTCTAAAATCCTAAATCAATCAAGAAAAAATAGTGAAACAACAAATCAATCATTAGAACAAATTGAACAACGCAAGCTCTGACCATTGACAAAATTAGAACCAGCATTCTTGTCATCAGCCCAATTTAATTCAATGGAGCTGGACTAACTTGCATAAACATATAGTTCCCAGCAAAAAGATCACCAAAATGAGCCCGGCTTTCCTTCAACCTTTTGCACACCTTAATCCAAGCTATCTTCACAAAACTTGCTTTTCTACTCATCATCAATCTCTTAATTCTTGGGATTTTCACCCTAAATCTCCGCCTAATGCGCACTCCCGAGAACCTCGACCTCCTAATAAGTGATCTTCCGACCACCTCCTCCCAAATTCTACTTTCATCGTCGTCTAACAACACTTCTGGCTTCAGTTTCTGGTAAGAGAAACTGGAATACGAGGTTATCGCCATGGAGAAACTATATGCTGAGGTTGCCTGACTGTGATTGTGAAGAGAGAAGATGGGTTGTCACTTTCCAGTTATGTTAAATACTTCATAGCTTTTCTTCTGCATACACATGCAGCCTGCTCTTTGCCATAATATTGTGATGACAAAGTAGTTGTGTTGGGGCTGCACTTTTATTGAGGGCATTTATTTCAATATGATGTATCATGTATGTTGTATTGTGTAGACCAACCCCTCTCAAGTGGTATGCATCCAATATAACTAAATACAAAATCAACATTTGAACCACATTTTTTAATAGTTTTAATTGTTAAATAAACCTTAATCTTTTTGCGTTTGGCAATTTTATCTCAATCTTTGGGTAATTGCAATATAATCTCGACCTCAATTTACTTATTGCAAGTCGAACCTAAAACCGATTGGACCTTCGAAAAACTGGTCGATTTGAAGGCGGTTCGAACAAATCAAAGCTCATATTTACCGGTTCACTCGAGATCTAGGAGGAGACTCATCACTGGTAGTTTACATTGACATGAAATTGTCAACTTGCTACGTGGATGGCATAAAAACCCGTGTCAATGGAAGACTTAGACACAAAATCGATCCACAAATCCTAAAATCAATCACTCTACACCCAAATCTGCAATAAGTAAATTAAGGTCGAGATTATTTTGCAATTACCCAAAAATTAAGATAAAATTGCCAAATGGCAAAAAAAATTAAAGTTTATTTAGCAACTAACCCTTTTTAATAAATTTCTCTATTCACCTGCTAACATAATTTTCAATCATTTAAATTCAACATTTTACCATTTTTCTACCACATTTCTTTTCCATGGAGAAATATTTGTAAACCCCTATATTGTGGTATTTAAAACATCCATACTCCCCCACAAGCTCACCAAGACAACAACCAAATCAAATTACACATATACACACATAGCAAATGAAGTGAATCAATATTATCAAAAGCCAAAAAGTAACTACTTCCTCAAAACTTTAATGTCCTCTGTCAGAAACCCACCCTCAACATGACTTAACTAAGTTTTATTATTTCATCCAATTTACCGTCAACTGTACGAACTTACAGTCGAGATTTTTTTATAAGGCAATAAACTATTATCAATGCGGTGATAATAATATACAGCAACCAAACTAAGGACTACAATTTCATTTGTACAACACAGTGTTACAGACCATAAAAAGAACCGAAGCTACAATCTTCTGCATTGAGTACCTATATAAAGAATCTGGTCCCAGGGTTAGTATATCAAGAAATCGATGACCGACTTAGTATAGCTTTATTCTGGTCTGAATAGGACTCCGGCAGATAGGACATGACTGTAGTTCTTGTCCACACTCGCAACACGTCTGAGGAAAAATGATACACAAATTATCTTAAATATAATAGTTTTCTTCAATAGGTAAAGACTTAACTATAAGTAGGGAATCATTAAAACAAAATATCCTTCAGGTTTTGGCCAAATTACAAACACATACACACATAAGAGAAACAAAAAAATCAGCTAACTTAAAAAAATTACATAATTGCTCCTGATATTTGTAACCACTTTACATTTTTCACTTGCCATTACTGTGGTGAAGAGAAATCTTTTATGACAAATTTATCTTAAAATTACAGTCATCCACTTTTATAAATAGTAATTATCCTGAACTTCATTCCTACATTTTGCATTTTCATCCATCGGTTTTCTCAAGCACTTGTAATATTTCACGAAGTCGATGGGTGTAATTGTGATATCAGGAAAGTCCATTGGATAATAGGGCAATCTATGGTCTTTGCAATTTTTAAAGTTAGATGTTTGTTTCGAGATTATTATTATTATTATTATTATTATTATTATTATTATTATTATTATTATTATTATTATTATTATTATTATTATTTTAAATACCACATACTCATGGGTAATATTTGTAATTATCCTAAATAAGGAAACCAAAGGCATAGATTACCTGGTGACCACAACCAAACGCCATGTCCTTTGGATTGCTAAGACAAATGGGGCAAATCTGTAGAAGAAACCCTAATTAGATATCTATCAAACTAAATACGACATAAAATATTTAAAGGAATACACTAACTATGCGCATACACACAAAATACCTGATGTTCATAATTTGAGCTTGGAGCAGTTGAGGTTGGAGCAGAAGGAGCTGCATCAGCTGGAAAATTACTCTCATAGTACGGACTTGAACTGCGCTGAAAGGTATTTGCCCGTGAAGGGTTTGTATTGCTGCCAAAAGTCGAACCATACACGGGAGGAGGAAGAGCAACCCTCTCAATAATATTTCCTTTCCTTCCACTAAATAAGCCAATAACAAAATTACAGAAAATGTAAGAAGCTCGAGGATATGTTTGCAATTAACCTGAACCAAATATATAAACATGCATAGTGTCACATGCCTCCCCAGCAGACACACACACATACAGAATGAAAGGGAAGCAAGGATTACCCCAGCAAATTTAGCTCCAGCGCGGCTTTATATTGAGTTGGAATTTCCATCAACGCCGAAAGAGCAAATTCCGTCTCTTTGCGAATTTGGTTTACATTTTTAGCCATAATCTCTGTGAAATTGACAAACTAGAACACCAAGAGTACTTCAGTAAAGAATGCAAATCGCAGCAAGTAAATTGGAGAAATAATATATAAAATGAATTAATACTTGACCTGAAAATTGTCAAAGTCACGTGCAGGGATGTTGTCATCAAATTCCTTCATCATATCCCAAGGGCCATCTCCAACCCCAACCAAAACAATGGATAAGGGCAACTTGCTGCAATCATATTAACATAAGATCACCAAATTTTGAGAAATATAGCCATAGTACCCATCAATCACCCATGAGGTTTAGTGTAATTACTAAGACTCAAACTATCTCACGTGCAGGGATGTTGTTTGTTAGACTGATTGCTTCTGAATAAGTGCAGTTTGTAACATAGAAAGAAGTGTCACATGGAAATTTGTAATAGTGTAAGTTAACAGTTTGTGTCAATTATTCTAAAGCACACCAACGGTATTGTAATTATCCATTGAACTATTTACCTAGCATCAACGATTGCTTGAACTGTTTTCTGCTCCTGTGGACTCAACTGACCATGTTCAGTATCAACACTTCTGGTAACCTAAAAAAATTAACAAGATTTCAAGAGATGATGTAACGAACACAGATAACGATTAGGATAAAATTAACAACTTCTTGAGTAAAATATAAAATATTATTTTTAAAACTATATTTACAAGAATGATCTCATACCAATTTGTCAGCATAATATGATATGGACATTGTTTATTTAGTGCACAAACTCCATATAAACAGGTCCATTTATCAAAGTTAACTAATGTTGTCTTTTATTTATGTAAATAATACAAAATTAACATATACAGACATACTGTTTCACCCTTCGTCGTTACGTTTTAATGTATCAAACATTTAATCTCTTTTTAAATCTATTTCTCATGTCAAAGTCGACACATGATGAACATTTTTCAGAAAATAATAGACTACAAATAGACCATCAAGCACATGCATGTGACAAAATTAAAGTAGTTGACTTAAGAAATCGATCGTGCATCACAAGGGGCAATCATCTAGTAAAACTAAAATCGTGGAAAGCCAACTTTTGAATATAGACAGATATAAGTCTTTGGAAGATTCAAGTTTCTCGTATCAAAGGGCACAGAGGTGATTAACATTAGCCACATATCCAAGTTAAAATACCTGCCCATCCGCAATAATTAGCAAAACATGGTACTGGCCTCCACTCTGCTCAACAACAGTCATTGCCATTTCAATTATTGGCGCAAATGATGTCGGTCCTGTAACAAAGCAATTCTAGGTTTAGAAACTCGTTTCCGATTATAATGTCAAGAAAGTTAGTTTGAAGTTGAATCAACCAGCCAGTTTCAAATTCGGAACAAGTTCTCTATATCGGCTTAAAACTTCCTCGAATCCATTGCAAAATCTCTCATCAGGGTAGAAACTGAATACGTCTTGATCATGTGTTGATGCTGTCAAGTGGATATAAAAAAAGAAACTAAGCAAATGTTTTTGTGCAAGTCAATAATAAACATCAGGCAATAAAAATGCAGGTTTATCCTCAGTGTACCATCCCCAAATCCAAAACAGGGAATCAAGTTGTCATCATCGAACGCCACCAACGTTTTCCCAATAATAGTTATTGCTTGTTCATATGGATTGAGACCACTTCCAATGTGATGTAAGCTTCGCCCACCAAATGATCTCTTTCCTAAAAGTAAAAATCAAGGTCAATAGTTTTCTAGACAAGTCTTAGTTGTGCTATCTGTGGAATTACAAATAACATTTTTAAACAAAACACACACACCCCAATAAAAAAAGGAAGAAAATGCAAGAAAGAATGGGAAGGAAAAAAAATAAATAAATAAACCTCAACCTGTCCACTCATTGCTCTTAGTGAAATCAATCCCAATGATTAAGTTGGACGACTCAAGACCAGCACGTGCAAGAGCTTCAGTTACCTACAGAAAAATAGTTCTTATATCTAAATGTGGAATGTATATAATAATCATAAATCGGTTTAAAAATCATTGATCATAATACGCGACAGTGTAGATTAGTCTTTTAGCAATAACAAGCAAAATACAGCTTCATGCAGTAGAACATCCAAATTCCATATATTAAACCAGTCATTACAATTCTAACATAGATTCTAGCTTCTGGTTTACAGCATTATTTTCCATTTATAACATTTATTAAAGATTAGCGCATTTACTATGTTTCACCAATAAATCTCCTTACCTGTATTACCTACTAGCAGATAGATAAATTATAACAAGTTTTGAATCCATTAGCAGATCAGAAATCAGTATTTTCTCTATAGTATATTACTCATACCCTACATGGATATCCAGAATACTTTAAGCTCTCCAGAGCAGCCGTCTCTCTATAATTACCAATCCTCGAAGCTAGAACTGAATCGATTGTGGGCATGCTCAGAGCCACACACAGGCACTCACATGAGTTGTATTGGGTGACATCAGTCCTGACCCAAATGAGGAAACCATTCGAAAAGCTTTTCATGCATTTGTATAAACATAGCATCAGAGCTTCATTCGCCTCATCCAGAAGACATATTTCCTCTAGGACCTGTGTCACTCTCTTTGAACTATTTGCAATCTGCCTAGCATCTTAATTGGCTGTTCAAATTTAAGAGTTCGTTCAAAATTTTACTCATAACTAAAACAAACAGTACTCTCCACTCTTTTTCTCACTGAACTACATTTTTTTAGCATAATAATACAGAGTCCCAAATTACATTATTCAGATATTGGTTAATGGCATCAGATAAACTTGTACCTCCTCTAATGAATTATAGTTGTCGGCGATCCTTGAATACCTCCTGTCCAGCTTCTTTTGACGTAACGGAGGCACGTTTTGTTGGGTGGGAATATACGGCTCGCTTGGGGTCTTGTAACCCGGAGGAGGCTCATAGTTTGCTGGTGGATATCCCGCTGGATAAGGATTTTCCACCGGATAATTCTGAGCGTACTGTGAAAATACCGATTGGCCATACGCGTGCTGCCACCCTGCAGGCGAACTTGAACGATCCGTTGAAGATTGTCTCCAGTTATCCCCATCCCTAGGGCTCGAGCTTTTGTTTCCCATCAAATCAGTTTATCAAACCAGCCAAATTTCGCAACAACTGAATTTCCAAGTCAGAACAGGGAATCCAAATTACAAGCAAGAATCGATTGTTTGTAGAACCAACTTAAAATGCCAATTGCACTAAGCTACAAGGCAGATATGGAAGAAAACTAACACGAAACAAGCCCCGCACAAACGAATACCCGATTTTCTCATTCCATAAAAAAACAAGAAAACACAGCACCACAAGAAAATTTTTTTTTTAAAAAAAAGAGCGAATTAAACAAACCATAAAGAAAGAAAAGGTGAGGCCTCGTCAGAAATAACAAACAAGTGCCTGCTAAACGGTGCGCCGACTCGAAAAAAGGCCCTGGAAAAGTCCCATTCGACAACATTCCTTGTAGATAACATCAAATTTATTCCTATCTGCATTTACTCCGCGCTTTTATCAAACAGACTACTCCAAAAACAGCAGATAAGACCAACCAAAGGCTCATCCAAAAAAGTATAAAGGAAAGAGAAAAGTATGGAATTTTCAGTCAAAACCCAGTAATGCGAGTTTAACAAATCAAATATAAAACCTAACCCCTCGATACTTAACGGCAATTCTAAAGATCCCATCTCGCAAATTCGAAAATAAATAAATCATATAAACAGAGAGAGAGAGAGCAAAGTGAGAAATCTGTATCATTACCATGGGAATTAGATCGTCGGCAAGATTTCTTTTCCGATCACTGATCCGCCGGAGCGGAATCAAGAATCTGTTCGGAGAAAAAAATGAATGTTAATCGGCAAAAGAAAAAGGGGACAAACAAAAGGGTGGTGACTTTTTGCAAGCAAGCTCTTTTGTTAATCGGCACATGAAAATGGTTCAAGTCCCTTGCTTTTTTGCTTGCCTTTGTGGGCAGTTATAATGATTGAGATTTGAGAGAGGGATTTGTTTGGTTTAGTGTGAAAGTTGACGTGCCATTCGAACAATGATGTAGTATTCTAATTTCTATAACTAAGTGATTGCCCGCACTCAATGTCAATATGCGAAAATGACTAGCAAAAGTTAGACTTGTTATTTTATGTAAATTAATGAGTTGCTTTCAAAAACAAATCAAAGTTATATTAATCAATCAATATCATTATCAAAAGTTCCAATACAAGTTAAGGGTTGTTCTAGTCAAACTATTATGGAATTATCAAGTTAGTTTTTCAATATTTTTGGAATATTCGAACCTAATACTATTGATTTAGAATAATATTATTTTTTATCTAAACTAAACTACGAAACATGTTTTTTCGCCGAGTAGGATTCCGAAGCATGCGATGCTGCCACTTAAGCTCAGCGCATTCTACAGTTATATATAAGGATTTTTTTTAAGGAAAAAAATATAATTTGTAAATTAGGTATGAAGTGCTATTTGTTATGATAAGATTTCACTCAAAACGTTGTTATCATAAATACAATTAAACATAATTTAAGTTGTTGACATGAGAATCTCCTCGCACGTTGGATGAACGACACGTGGATCACGGGAGAGGTCAGGAGTCACGCCGAAGAGAAAAAAGAAAAAACTCCCCGAGCTGCTGAAACCGACCTCTTCAAGGCGCCGACCTCCTCAATAACAGCAACTCAAATAAGAGTTGACGTCGGTACCGACAGGAAACATTAAATGCCTGTCCATCAAATGTCCAAGAGCCACGTGAGAACATCATTGCTGAGGGGCCCACTTGTAGAAAAAGCCTGCGCTCTGTCACACCGCATTAAATGCAGTCGTATCTCCTAAAAAGATGAGCCCCTAGTTACTATAAATAGCAGCATTAAACTCGATACGAGGATCTTTTTCCGGCACATTAAATTCTACATTAAACACCTCGGCTCCTCATTTACAGCCGACTTATTGTACTAAGAAAAATCCGACTTC